AGCATTAGAAATACTTGGTACATGATTAATGAGAAAAGATAACGAGTATGTTTGGCAAATTCACATGTATTACACTGAAAATAAGAGATTTATAGTCCTTGAAACAAATCTGGAAACATAATTCTCAAAACCCTAAATAAGGAAAAAGTGATGTAACCAAATCCCATATTTATTGGAGGAACTAAAAAATGACACGGGTGTGCCGGGCTGACTATTCTCTCAGGTAATTGCAAGTTGTATAAGCCATTCAATTCTTTAGCAAGTTCAATCATTCGTCTTGAATTTTGGTCTTGAAAAACACAATATGATTAGGAGAAAATAACACTATAGTGGTTTTCATGGGTAAGCTTTTGTATGGAAAGGAGACTACTAGATAGTTTTGGAACATGTAAGATGGGTTCTAGTTTAAGAGTTTGAGAAATGAATACATTGTCTATTCCTAGGACGGATTTCATTTGCGACGGTAATTTTTCAGTTACTTGGACATGGTTTATAAGTTGCATCATAATCTACAATCCAAGAGTTAACCTAACTTATCTGTAGAGGTTTATACAAAAATTGAATCAAGACTTACTTGAGATAGTTAAGGTATTGGAATTTGATGGTTTGTTGAGCGAATCCAAGAACATCTTCAATCTTTCAACTCTTCATTATTAAATCCACTAGTTTCCACAACTGCTCCCTTTTGTTTTGATTTGGACTCCTCTGCGGTGCATACCTGCCTTCGACATGTAACGACCTTATTTTTCTATTGAAATAGAGCCGCCACTACATGCATGACCTGACTCTTAAGTATGAAACTATTCGTTTAAAATATTTCAAAAACAATGCTATGGACTTAAATGTTCGAAATAAAAGCTTAAAACAAAACAATAGAAAAGAAGTAATGTAAAAATTTAAATAAAACTATGGAAAAGAATAAAACAATGTTTTGGTATAACCTAAGGGCTACAAAATAGACAAAATGCAACTACCCTAACACTAGTTCCATGCCTTCATCACAACGCTGCTGTAATCCATATATGGGTTCCATACACTTTACCTGAAATGTAAGGGTAGCACCTGACTTAAGTATTTTAAGAAATATTTGGTAAGTAACCCCACTATTGGGGGTAGGAAAATGCGGAAAATGCAAACACATGCAATATGGTGGGACCTATCCTTTTAACATAAGATAGCATGGCCTTCGGTAGCTTTCCAGTTTGGGCAAGGTTGGGTGTGTAGTACTTTTCTACACATCACCACACGTGTGAGCTTGGGCCCACCAGACGGGCTCTCACACCCCTAATAATAATAAAATCTAAATAAATCTCTAGTAACAATAGATCTAAATCAATCCTTAGATTCTAGGTAACAATGGTGAGTGTTTCAAGTCTATATTAGACTATTGTTTTTCTTATTTATTTTCAAAGAATTACATATATCTTTAATAAGGAAGGACTGACTAAATCTAAATTGATAGATCTAAATTCTCTAGATATTAGGTAATCTAAATAAATCCCTAGATAATAGCTAACAAGATAAGATAAATCAAATAAATCTCTGTTGGGTAACAAGAAATCTAAATAATCCAACTACTTCCTTATTTGATGGGATTACACCAATATCCTTTGACACTCCCCCTAAGTAATATGTATCATTCATTCTCAGCTTGGATACTAACTTATAAATTACACAGATATCTTTAACTTAAGGCTAATCCTTCGAGGTCAAATTTTTCCCTTATTTAATGAGGTTACACAAATATCTCCTAATTTAGGATTAGGAATTACACAAATATTCCTTAACTCATGATGATTTCTTCAATAGATCTGATGGTCTTTTCATGTCTCCTTTTGATGGCTTGAAGATAAAAATCTAATCCTTCTCATTGAAACCTTAAAAGCTACCTTGGGTCTCACAATTAACCTATCAAAGTCTATGGTGAACACCATGCATGCATATGTCCATGGGTCTTAAAATTAACCTTTAAGAGCTAACTTCAAAATTAACCTTCCAAAGTATGTGGTTGTTGAACACTGCATATACGGATATGTCCATAGTTAAATGTTTGGAACTGCAAAATAGCTCTTCTCCCATTAATCTACCCAGCATGCTCTTGGGGCAATGCTTAAGGTTCTCTCCTTTTAGAAAATGGTATTACATAAAGTTGAGCAAAGAATTTATGTGGAGGAACAATAATATTTTTAAAGGGAAGTGTGGTCCAACCCCATTTAGATTTGAAAAAATGTGGCTGTCTCATCCCACTCTTGGAACCTCTTTACCCTTTTGGTGGGCAGTGGAGGCTCTAGGAAGATGGGAAGGTTATCGTTTTGTGGGTAAGCTTTTTGTTTGAAGAAGTCACTTAAAATTTCGAATCCTGAAGTATTTGGAGACTTGAAGATCAAGAAACAGGATTACTAAATCGCATTAACATGCTGAATAGACTGGAAGAGGTTGGTTCCCTATGCTTTGAGCAAAGGGAGGAAATGTTGTCTCTGAAAGTTGAGTTTGAAGAGGTTACTAGAAGTTAGACTATTAGCTAGAGGCAAAAGGCTAAGTTTAAATTTGCTAAGGAGGGTGACAACAACTCATTACCTACCATACATGCCAACTGTGGAGTTTTTGTGAGATTCTAACGGTACTTTGTACTTTCATTTTCATGTATTCTGTGGTGTGAATACATTATTTGTTCTTACAAAGTAAATGGATTACAACCCAATTTATACACTCTAAAAGTTACCGTAAAAAAATGATTCAAACTCGATGGTAGCTTTCTACCAAGGACATTAAAGTTCTATGAGTTGTTTGGTAATCAAATGTATAGGATTAGATACCTGTTCATGAGATTAGCTGAGGTGCTTGTATGCTAGCTTGAACACGTGGATATAAAAAATCTGTAATTGTAAATGGGCAGAAAAGAAAAGTGCTATACAAGGAACTATTTGCTTGCATGAGCCTGACAAAGATATTGTTTAGAGAAAAAGAGGATTTTGGAGAATACTTTAAAATTTTTTCATAAGGAAATTGGAAAACTACAAAAATAAATATGTTGGGTGAGGGCACCTAGGGGGCACACCCCAAGAAGCAATGTGCATGACATGAGTTTTTTCGAGAAGTGTTTTTTTCTTTTAAAAAGAAAACTGATGATACCAATTGAACAAATGGAGCAATAAAGGAGCAATAAAGGAGCAAACCAACCAGAACCAAAGAACCGATTGAGCAAAGCAAGTTATTCAAGGCGATTGAGCCAATTGAACCAATGAACCATACCAATTGATCCCAAAAAGTCAGTTGATGACGAACTCAGGAGCTGAAGTAAATGTATTTGAGCAGTTGAACAAAATGAGTACAAAAATAAAATGTTGATAGAGCAACAAATTTTGAGGGGTATGCGTGGGCTGTGTACTGAGTTGCGAGACCCTTGAGACTTTTGTTGAAGGTTTGATTTCTTGAAGGAAGAAGTAAGTTTCACGAGGACAACCTTTGGTCAGGTTCTAGTATATTATTATTTCATACAAAGTAAAAGAGGAACATACTGCCATACACTCCAGTGACGTTATAATGACAGAAAAAAGAGGTAAAAAGTCTTAATGCTATCTATACATATGAGCCCATTAATAAGGATCTGATATAAAGACTTATAAGATATTATTGGGTTGGGCCATTGTTTAGGAAAGCAATTAGCTAGTAAGTCCAACGTATTTGTGTCCATGAAATTGTCTCTGATCTTTCATTTTATTTTTCTTGAAGATGGTTGGTCTTTTGACTTGGGCATCTAAAGAAATAACCTTACTGCTAGGACTTCGAAGCTATCTTGATGTTCTGTAGCTTATGATGATTATATATTGTTTAGTTTAATGGGTGACCATTGTGAAATGTCTCGTGAGCTGATATTCATACACTTGTTTTCACACATTACACCGGAGATTGATATGTAAACCTCATCTAGAAAGGTGGGGAATCTATCAAATGAAGCATTAATAATTTTTTTGGTGTTATTCAATGAAATAAAAATTTGTAGCTATTAAAACTATGTCTGCTATCCTGCTAATTTGTAGGGATACCATGGTGATACTTCAACAACTTTCTTTTGTGGAGATGTTGATGATGAAGCCAGAAAACTTGTCCGGGTAGCTTTTTCTTTCTACTTTTGTTAATGAGTAGCTATTACAATTAGATATAGCTATGTTGTTCTTGTTATCTTTTGATACGTCACTAGTTATATATATATATTGTTAATATTTCAATGGAAAAAGTTGTTGGTTTTCTACAAGGACCGGTCTAGAACTTTATAATTTATTTGGCTTAAATTCTTGTCCGGCAATATCCAATCTGGCTTTACTTCATATAAGTGTGAGTATTGTAAAATTGGAACTTCTCCTACCTTCAACATAGGTACTACATGTTTTTTTTCCTTTTGGATTGAAGGATTTGTGATACTGAGCTAGGATGATAGGACAGTAATTTCTGAAAATAATAGAACTTCGTAATTACCTTGTTAAGTTTGGTTAAAGTCAAGTATGATATGTTTCAATGTCTAGATGCTGTCCACCATGGGTTCCATACATGGGTAATGTGATTTCTTCTGTACCGACTTCATGTGGTTGCATTCATCGTTTTTTTATATTCTGAAAATTTCCAACCGCTGGTTTCTGTTTGACCTGCCATAAGTTTAATTTCATGACTATGTTTGGGCTGAAATGCTGAGTGTCTTTGATTCTAACTGGGTAGTTCGCTTCATCTTGCCGCCATATTGCAAGACAAGACCCTTTGGGCAAATTTCTTTGTTTTACGTTCCAAATGATGAGAAATATGGTTTACGATATTAAAATCCTGCTCAATATTACCAAATATTGTAGGTTTGAGTGGTTGTTTCATAAGATCAGTTGAATTGTGCATAAGTTGTTTTTTTCTCCAATAACTGCTTTAGGTGACTAGAGAATGCCTAGATAAAGCAATATCCATATGCGCACCAGGAGTGGAGTTCAAGAAAATTGGCAAAATAATTCAGTAAGAAACCCCACTTTGTACTGCTGAACCATACGACACTATTGATGATTGTAGTTTCAAGGTTTAGATATTAATGATATTTTCTGTTTCCTATCAATAGAGAAAAAGGTTTAGGATTATTTTTTACTATGTGATTCCTTTTACAATTAATGGTAGCATGTTTGTGTTAAAATAACACAAAATATGAACATATTCTAATTCAATAAAGACATCTTTTGGGCTTTGCTTTTCTTTGAAAACATGTAATGTGATAGAGTAAGGAAGCACAATCTATTGCTGTAGAACTAATGGGGAGGGGAAGAGTTAAAGAATTACTTGAGGTTCAATTCAAAGAAGATTCTTCTGTGGAAAGCCTCCAAAGTTAGTTATTTATTGTCCGATCAGTCTGATTTCTTCTCTTCATAAAATTATTGCCAAAGCTCTTGCTTAGAGGTTGAAGAAGGTTCTCCCTTCCACCATAAGCGATTGTCAAACAACCTTTGCAGTGGGTATCCTAGATGCCATTCTTTTAGCTTCAGAAGTGGTTGAAGATTTGGACGTTAAGTAACAATAGGAGTATGTTTTGAAGTTGGACCTTGAAAAGGCTTAGGACAAAGTCGATTGGCACTTCCTTGATGTTGTTCTGAAGTTAAAAGGCTTTGATAGCTTGTGGAGAAAACGGATAAGAGGTGGTTTCTACTGAAAATTTCTCTGTTTTGATTAATGGTGAGCCTAGGGAAAAGATTTCAGCGGTAAGAGGTTTGAGGCAAGGCCTTTGCCCCCCCTCCCTCTCTCTTTCTATCATCAGGGAGGCTCTCAGCTGAGTGTTGCATGATTGTCAGGAAAGCAGAATCTTAAAAGCTTTTCAAGTTGAGGAAGCTATGGTCAATATGTCGCATCTCTAGTACACTGATGACATTGTTGAGCCTTTATGTGGAATGGAATACTTTGCCCGCATTGATTGGGGTGTTGGGTGTGGGCTCGCTATATTATCGAAATATGTCTTTGCTAGGTGGCTCTGGAGATTCACGCAAGAAGAAAATCCCCTCTGGAAGAAGGTAATCCCTACATTTATGGAGCTAATACTCACAGTTGAATGATGAGAAGGGAAAGGTAGCAGACCTTCGGTCGACGTTGCCAAAAGTTTGCTGCTCTTTGTTTGTTTTACTTAATTTAAAGTTGATGCAGGTGTTCAAATCCATTTTTGGGAAGATAGTTTGGTTGACCAAGATACATTACAGAATTGCTTTCCGGATTTTTCTGTGATTTCTAGCAAAAAAGGTGCTTCTATTTCTGAGTGTTGGGACAACAACAAAAAAGTTGGAATTTGGGCCACACATGGGGTCTCTTTGACAGGGAACTAAATAGTTGGGGTGATAATAGAAAATTTGACTTCGGTTCAGTGAGTTGGATGGCCTGGTCGAGCCTTTTGGCCCCTTGAGGGCTAAGGTTGTTATTCTTTGAAGTCAGCCTGCTTATGCGTTTCTAAAAATACTATAAGGGTAAAATCCCCTTGACCGCGCTGGTTTGGAGAAGCAAATGGACGCAGAAAGTAGAACTTTTCGGTCCTATGGCATTTAGAAGCCTTGATACTGATGAGATGATTCCGAAAAAAGGTTTTAAGTCTTGGGCTCTTTCTCAGTTGGGGTGCATATTATGCTTGAAAGAGGGGGAAGGTATAAACTACTTTTTTCTCCATTGCTTGTTTGCATTTCAGGCTTGAACTTTAATTTCTAGAAGTTAGGGATTGGGACTTGTCCTCTCCGGAGGATTGATGATTGGCTTGTGGAAGGCATAAGTGCTTTGAATTTGTCAAGCAAAGCTAGGATTTTGGGTTGCTATGCTATGATAGATCCTGTGGCAGATTTGGCTCGAAATCTATATTTTCAAGATAAGTTTCCTAATTTTGATTCTTTTTGTATTCTTTACGGTTCTTGATGGGCCTCTTTACATTCAAAGTTCTTTTATCAGCTATTGGAAACCGCTTGTTAAGTAGTTACCCTGGATGGAATTTCCTCTTCCCTTAGTAGTGTTGTCTTTTATTGTCTTTTTACCTTCCCTTACTTGTGTGTATCTATCTATCTATATGTATATATATAGTGAATGGAATAGAGTATTCTGATTCTCTCAAACCTTTAGCATTTACATGGCAATAGAGAGCTAGGTTAATTGGATTTTTTTTGTTAACCTAGGGATTTTTTTTTTTTTTTTTGTTAACCTATGGTTTTGTGAACCTTAGATTTTGTAGTTTGGGTCAGAGATTTTTGTCTAGACATGTTGTATCTGTGCATCCACTCCTGATAACTTTGAAAATTTCATTACGATTTCTGCAGAGGAGTTTGCTAAATTTCAACCATATCAAGTGTCATTATTGACATTATATTCTACTCCAGTTACTGCTATCACAAAGACTGTAACGCTTCTATATGCCTTCTTCCTCCACTTTGAAATGAGCCATTGACTTTGGTGCTACCAATCATATGACAGGCAATCCCAATTTATTCCCTAATCTTCTTTTTAAAAATTTTTTGTCTACCTTTTCACCTAATGTTACTATAGATGAAAAAACTACATCTCCAGTTTGGGTCTGACGCAATGAATCTTACCAAATCAATTTCATTGTCGTTTGGTTTAAATTTACCACAGTTATCTTTTGATCTCTATTAGTAAATTCGCTTGCAATCTTAATTCTTGCATCTTATTCATTCCTGGTCATTGCTTAATGCTTAGTTTAGGATCTTACAACGAAGAAGACTATTGGTAGTGGGCGTGAATTTGAAGGTCTCTGCATCTTTAAACCACAAGTATCTATAGCCATCATATGCTCTAGAGTGTCCACTTAGCCGCCATCACATGCTCTAGAGTGCCTCCTTCCTTTGAAGAATATTTCCATTTGGGTCATTTGTCTATCTCAATATTGAAGACTGTCATCCTCAATTTGATCATTTGTGAATGGAAAAAAATGGATTTGTCTGCAGTATGGTCCGCTCAACAAAGGATCATATGTTTTTGGTAAATAGTCGTTTTTAGTTTCGTTAGATTATGTGTCATGTTAGTTTGCTAAGTTTTAACATATGAGTTTGTATCCAAGAGTCAATACATGAGCTAGTGCTCTTATTGAGTCATAGAGGGTTTCAGTATTTTTTTTACCTTTGTTGACGATTATTCTCGTGTTACTTGGTTATTTTTAATGAAAAGCCATTCCAAGTTGATTTCTTATTTTCATAACATTCATCGGTAAATTTGAAATCAACCAGTTCTTTTAAAGTCCTATGGAGTGTAATGCTAAGAAATATTTCTAAAAAAGAGATACTCCTTATACAGTTAATTTTGTAATTAAGGGTATTCATGACACCCAACGTTTGCCGTTGAATGAAAAGTTAACTCAAGAAATGAGACAAATGAGTTGGCTCGATTGGAGGAGGGGTTCAACAACATTTTCTTGATTAGAGGCAGTGTCTTGAGCAGCATCCCAAATCTCTTTGATAGTTGAAAGTAGGAGAAAATTATCTCTAATCTTAGTGCTCATGGAGTTGATTAACTAGCTCATAACTTGATTGTTCTTGTGGATCCTCGAGTTTGGGTTAAGATGCTTTACCTGTGATATAATCTTCTCATCCACAGATCGTACATGAACATCATCACAGATTGTGAACTCTGAAGGTAGTTGTGGCCTTTGAGTTTGTGGCATGTTATTTGCATACTGTTGCTCTCAGTGAAGGGGAAAATGATATTTTGCGATTCTGATTCTTACAAGATTTAAAAGAAAAAAAGAAAAAAAAGAGGAAATGAAGCAATGGGGAAAAACAGACGTGAGGTCATTGTGAAAAGAAAGTGCATGGCGACAACTGATGATGATGGCAATGACAACTAATGAAGACAACAACAAAGGAGGTTTTTATTCTAAATNCCCCCCCCCCCCCCCCCCCAAAAAAAAAAAGGCCTACATGATTTTTTTGGTGGGGACGACGAAAATGAAGTAGATCTGTGACGTTTCGCAAAGGAGATAATCGCAACTTCATTTGAAGTTGGCAACAACAGTGACATGCAAGGGTTTCATCAAAAGGTAGATTTGTGAGGATTTCGACTGTGAGGGTTTTCAACAACTACAAGGGTTTTGACTTTGGGATGAGCAATGGCTCATCTTTGGGAGGAAGGTTAGTCTGGTGACAGCGGTTAGTGTTTTGGCGACGAAGCTAGGGTTTTGATACCATGAAGCTATGCATGACAAAAAGAAATTTCTTATTTCTTGAGTGGCAGATAAACTCTTAACTTTATACAAGAAATTGCTCAATCATAAAGCTAGAATGAAGCAGTAAATCTAAACCTATATGAAAGGAAAGATAGCAAAATATACCCAGAATATATGGAGGAAATAATCTTAAGCAAGTCCTATTAACGGTTGAATCAATTAAGAGCTTGATTTTCTAAAGATCATATATTCTTTTACTTTTAATTTTAATTTTTGAAAAACTATTGTTGGAGCAAATTATGTGCATTTCTCTAATGGATTGTTTGAATTAGGTATAATATCTTTGGTAGGTGGTTGCTAAGATTTAAACTAATTTATCTCAAAGAAATTTTGCTTCACACTCATATATGGTTGTGTGATTGCAGGGTAATCATTAATTGGATTATTGTGTTGAAGCATAGTATTTATGAATAATTGTTATAAGATACTTGGATAGAACTCTGCACTTATTCTGTTGATGTTAATGAATTGTTTTGTCCATCTGTCCAAGACTAATTTAAGACAATGTGATATCTTGCGGAATAATGAAAATCTCCATTCTCATAATTTTCTCTGTTTCTCTAATCAAGTGACCATGCAGATAAGCATCGATTTGGTGTAGTTCGACAGTTTGTTGGCCATGGCGTTGGACGTGTGTTTCATGCTGATCCAGTTATTCTTCACTTCAGTAATTATTCTGCTCTTTAGATGCTCGCTTTTACAATGTGGTTTTTGTGTCATGCTGGTTTATCTAACATGGTTTTGATCTTTACATGTTCTTTATGCACATGATTATAAAATGACAAATAAATGACTTATATGGACCTCTTTATAATTTGATCAAGAAAAGGTTTCCTGCTCTTCAGTTTATTTGCTTTTGCGTTATTTAACCAATCACATGAAAAAGGGAAATTATTGTCAGATACTTGAGAAAGATTTCTTGCTCTTTTCAGGGAACAATGATGGTGGGCGCATGGTGTCGAATCAAACCTTTACAATTGGTATTATATTTCATTCGTTTTAGTTTTCCTGTGTATTATGTTTATCTACATTTTTTTTCCTCTGATGATTACCTTCAACATGCGAATAACGTCAGCATGCGAAAGTTATGAATAAAAAATTCATATGTAAAGTGGTTGAGTGAAATTACACTTGCAATTATATTTCAAATATGATCCGAGTCATTGGGATTTGAATATTATGATAAATTGTATTTCCACCTGTATTTTAGTTAGAACCAAAGAAATCTTATATCCTTCATCTTTATTTCTGTCCTCCATCAATTCAGTAGTAGAGCCCAAATAATCCAAATGTTTTTCTCCACCTTCTATGTTTGCTAATATCATCAGTCTACATATTTCTTGCCCTTGCCATTCTGTGCGTTGCCAACTTTTTCTCCAGCCCCTCTAGTGTATATGTCAAGGGAAAACTTCTAGGGAAATTGTTTGGTGTATCGGAGTTGTGACGCCCAGTCCCAAACTGTTCTTCCTGGCCTTGAATTCTGTTCGGAAAAAAAAAACAGTGATAAGTGTAACTCCCCCCGCCCCCCC